AGAAGCACTATTTTATATGGATTGTCAGTATACATATGTGAGGACCATGTCAGACTTAAGATATTTGTTTTCTCTTGGTTTTGTTTTTTTTTTATTTTAGTATGTTCTGTTATTTGTATGTTGCGTCAATGTACACACATTATTCTCACATGTGTGTACAATATTGGAATATGTATCAGAGCTATGTAAAACAGACTTTTTTTAAAAGAGTAACAAATGGAGTTTCTTGCTCGTTCTTCTCCACTCGAATCGACATTTTGGAACGAGCGCCTAGCTTCACTGACGGACAGACTGACAGACTATTATATATTTCATATTTGTTGACGTTTCAAAAGTACCAAATTATGGTTTAATTGAAATAAATGCTTTTGAGTTTGAGTTTGAGCAGAAGAATCAGCCAGGCTGTTCAGCTTATCTTGCACGGTTTCAGCCACGATAACGATGTCATCTGCAAATCTCATGTATCAGAGATACTTGCCGTTTATATTTATGCCCCATCCCTTCCAGTGCAGCGTCTTGAACATATCCTCCACAGCATTGGTAAATAATTTGGGAGAAATAACATCGCCTTGTCTTACTCCCGATGCACGTGGACAGGTTTCTTTCATAGAATAATTTTGTTAATTACCTAGACTGACAGAAGACTAAATCTTGATATCAAATTTAATGATACAGTCAAATTGAGAAGTCCTCATCACGAAATGCGACTAATTCAGGAACCTTGGGCAGTTCGTAAAAAGAACAAATCTACAATGTGGCTACTACATAAATGTTATCTTGTTGTTCTGTTGATTCACCTAAGTTCGAGGAAACTTTTAAATGAAGTAAACAAAAAGGAGATTTCATATCGAGTATTTTTGGAACTGTATAGCAAATTAAAATGTTTTAGAGTTGGAATTTTTACTGGTTCTTCTCAATTTGCGTACGGATTTATACTTTGAAATCTTTTCAACTACAAAGTTCCTCGGTTTTAGTAGTTAGATTTTTTATCCTTAATAACTGTAGTGCCTACCTAGCACGGAATTTGTAAACTTACCTTCTGTAATTATGTGTGTGAAAAGTTTTGAATGGTCAGGAATCCAGGAGAGAGTTCAACTGGTGATATAATATACTTAGACTCTTAATACTTATATTACATGGGACCCATAACATAATAGTGAAAAATGGGTGAGGTACAGTTGCATAATGTTCACCTCTGCCTACTATATTATAAAAATCTATGTATACTATATGATAAAAGGCGTGATTTATGCATATTTATATTTTTATGAATATGGTCTGCTGTGTAATTCTGCCAGAATAAGATATGCCCATATCATTTAAGACTTTTAAAACAATCATGCAGTGCGTACATCGTTTGATGAATACTTAGTTATTCAAGAATGATTTGTATACTAATCGAGAGTTCATATAACTTGACACCGTTATCTGGAAGTGTTCCAAAAATCTAGACCATTCAGTTTTATTTAAATTTATTACGTGTAGTTTACTAACGAGAATTGTTAGTAAGACCTAGATACACAAATAAAATTAAATATCTAGGAACTATCTAAATGAACGTCGAGGAACTCGACTAGTTTCAAGCCATGCATCGCGGGTCGCAGAATGCTGCTTATGGATGATTGCTATGATGCTTGCTTATGAGCCTCTAGCAAACGTGAGAAAGCCGAAAACGTAATAATTAATTAGTATGTCTAACGATAATTTTAATAGAAATGTCGATAATCTTTATTTTATTCATTGAGACCATTGACAGGAGTTCAAACTCAATACCTTCACATTAAGCCGGAGAAGAGTTGATACTTAGATTTCAGATTATGCTGCAAAGTCAGGTACAAGGTTACTTTTTGGAGGTAACATTATTAAAGTGACAAGATAATTATGAAATATTAAGCATATTAAACCTGTGGAAGTGATATCCTTTCATCTACTGAAAAGAGATTTCTTTGACTCAAGGCGATTATAAAACAAAAACAAAACTGGTTCTGTTTATTCATTTAAGTATTATGATTCGCCTTTTGGAATATCACGAAGCATAATATTTTGTGTTCGGTGCACGGTACTTAACCAGGATATTTCATTTAAATAAACAACGTGATAACATTTTCAACATTTAATATTAGTAATCATAACAAAAATAACTAATTTCCAGAACGAATTTGCTCATATACTTCTTTATTACACAACAAAGATCCGTTTTTACCGTTTAGTGCATCAATCTGAGCGATATCTAGTTCTAGCTGTGCAGCAGTTGGTACTTCTCTCGCCAACAGAAATAGGATGGTACCAAACCTTTTTGTTACTATGTAAGTTAGTTCATAATTGTCGTTCACAACCCAAAGAACGCCACGGTCATTGAATTCTTTATCTTCACGTTTGCAGGTAACATTCATATATGCTTCTAAGTCATTGCTGTTCTCCACAACAGATAAAGCTACCGACGTTACTTCTGGACTGCCTTTAAACTGCAATCTACTGTGACGTTCGAGGGTTCTAAAAATCACGTTGGTAGCATTATTGCCATCGGTACAACTGGCCTGAAGATCTCTTTGGTCCCTTGATAAAGAAAAAGTCACGCATATAGTCGTCGATATGATATTATTTGGATACATCATAATCAGAGTGTGGTTTCCATAAACGTCATTGACGCTGACCCCCTCCACGATACTCAGAAATGCTGATAATACAATTATTTTCCACATTTTGTTCACAAAACACTTTGTGGTAACGGCTAGTATGGTTTCTCCACAGTATGACACTAACAGAATTATCAAGGCTTGCTATTTAAGTCCACTTGAGTGTTAACCTTTGGCTTATTGTGATAATAATGTAGCGTTAGTCAGTCCAAAAGGTATTAGCGTAAAACTTTTATTACATTATTCTTTGTTAGTTCCTTATAACGAAGATAAATTAATTGCCATACACCATATGAAACTTTCAACCTTTTGTTTTATTACATTGACATGATTATGTTGTTCGCATGAATTTTACGCTCAATACCTACCTTCCGACTACTTGCCAAGTACTCGGCGATAAATTATTATTGCATATCGACTTTTGGAAGGAGATCATTTTGTGTGATATTACGATCATTAATTCATTTGTATTTTGTTATTTCTAAATTTTGATGCTTCTATAAGAGTTCTCGATTAGTTATAGCGGCTCATACTCTCTTACCGGGTCGATGTGCAATAAATAAAATGAAACATCAAAAATATGATTATTGCTATTTATTCACCATTAAAAAAGAATTTCGGTTGATCTTGTCTTGGAGGCCAAGCCATTGTACCGTTCAAGAGTCTGGAAATTCACGCTGTACGCATTGATGCTACCTGAACAATTGATTAGTGGATTGGTTCTTTAAAAGAGTAAAACACACGAAAGCATTCATCCATTATTTATACCTAGAGCACCATCGATGCGCTGTGATTTACTGATGCAATCTTCTTGAGTTACAAATTACTCCTTTGGTGATGCCCAGAATAGCTGACAATACAATTACTTTCAACATTTTTTTCACAGAATACTTCGTGTTAGCTGCTGACAGAGCTTCTCCACAATTGACACCAACAACATATCAGGGTTTGCCATTTGAGGCATTTTGAGCATTTGACGTTTTGTATTGATAATTTGCGTGGTTAGGTTCAAATCATATTTGTAAAAAAATTGAATGTCACATTTGGTGATTAGTTTCTTGTAATAAAGGGTAATATTCCATTTTGAGGGCTTAGAGCGCGGTTTACCTTTTAATAATAAAACCCTAAAATAAGTAACAAAAACTGGATACAATGTAACACACATTAAAATATAACATTCATGTTCATTTATAATTTTCGTACAAAATACGATGCGATGATTATTCTAAATTCTAATGAATGTAGAAAAGGTTTTAGCCAATATCAAAGGAATAAGGGAAGAAAATATGTTTCACATTTGTAGGATAAGTAAATAGAATCCACAGAAAATAATGGCGCAAATTGGAAACGGGCTGCGTTGGACGAACGCCGAATTTCAAACAACGCAGCAATTTATTTTTCAATCGATCCTTTCTGTTGCAAACCGCGGGGTTGCGGCCAAAAAGGTGAACGTTTCAGCTATTGATAGGAATCTGTTTTTTGTTTTCGCCTCCGTACACAGCTTTGGTATCAATTTAGAGGAATTTTAGTAAAGAAAAATTCACGTGTGGACTTTATTAATTAATTTATTTATTTATTTATTTACACTTTTTGTAGATATACAACGGCGGACTTAATGCCTAGTGGCACCTACAGATTATTTAGTTGGTTTAAGGAAAGACGTCAGTATGACATCATAATACGGGGGCATAACCTGTATAGAAAACTGTAAGGAATTATAACAGATTTGAGTGCTTGTATGTTTGTGTACGGTTTTAAACTTCTTAAAGACATTTTAATGCAGCTAAGCATTTATATTTTAACACGTTAAACGCCATGGGGGTCACCGTTACCGGCGTCGGCGGAGGATTTAGGTACCTTCAACAGTTTGTTATTGGCAGTCAACACGTGTAACTTTACATAATATCAAGTCAATCGGATAATAGATTTTTGTTTTTTTTTTTGTTCATGTTACACACAGTAGATACACAGTGTCTGTGACTAAGCTAAAACTAAGACTAGTTCTTACTGTTTTTCCCATCGAAGCACTGCAGGAAGAGATTCCTACGGGAATATGTAGTACCTATGTTCTTCTAATTTATTTATATATGTATTCTCCGGTGTACTGTCTGTGTGTTGTGCATAAATAAACAAATAGATAAAAAAATAAACATTTTGCTTCAAAATTAAGTTCCAAGACTTCACTCCATATACATACATAAATTCATTGAAAATAAATTATAAGCTTAAAACGTACTTCGTAGCAACATGGCCGGTTCTCCTAACAATTAAATCACGAAAATAAAATTGGAAGACAAAACTTGTCTAATACTAGTTCGATATAATAGGACAAGTGTAGTAATATCATAGTTCAGTGTTGTTTAACTAGTGTGCCAATCAACATGTGTTCTACGTACACCTTGATGCTTGTATTGTGTATCGCCGTGTCTATACGGACTGTGTTCAGTGCAGTTGCCTTACAATTACCTGAAGAAAAACCTAAGGAAATGGGTCTGTATTTTAAAATTCAACTTTATAGGTACTTTGTTTGGATAGGCACAGATATTTTTGTGTATTGTATTGTACTTCTAGTGAAAAACATAACATTAGGTTCGGGTTTTCCGGTACCTCCGTGCCTCCTCCTCCAGGATGGTGGGCACCGGGGACCTCCCTAGAAGGTTCTAGTGAGGTAAAAATCCCACACTCTCTAGTTTTTTTCCCCAAAAAACCGCCCGTCAACAAAAAAGATTCGGATTTCCTTAAAGAAGTTAGGCTGTGACAATAGACTCGCCTATTGTAGGTACCTATCCTTTGTAGTTGTCTTATTGTACGAACTCATAACACACTGCCTCGATGGCCGAGTGGTCGCAAATACGACTGCCGGGCAATGGGTCTCGGGTTCGATTCCCGGGTCGGGCAAAATATTACTGCGTTTTTAAGAAAAAAAATCTCAGTAGTAGCACGGAGTCTGAAAATGTGCCCGGTATATGGCAATAGGCTCACTCCTATTACATGGGACTCATAAAATAAACAGTGAAAAGTGGGTGTTACTTCTGTGTACACCTCTGCCTACCCCTTCGGGGAGAACATCACGCCTTTTGCGTGATGTTATAGTATGTTATAACACAAATGATGAAAGGTGTAAACACGAACATTACTATTGTATGTATTTAACATAACATCACGCCTTTTACCCCGGAGAGGTAGGCAGAGGTGCACATTACGGCACTTAATGCTTCTGACTGCTGGGCAAGGGGTCTCGGGTTTAATTTCCGGGTCGGCTAAAGTACTACTGTATTTCAAAAACAATCTCAGTAGTAGGACGAATTCTGGACTTGTGCCGCATATGCGTATGTATAACACAAATAGGTAAAAGTTGGAGTAATTCATGATGTAAAAATATTGTAACTTCTAACTCAAGTTGATACTGAAACTTGTATTTAGGAACTTAAGGACCAATATTTCAATCCTTACTTATATTATAAATCGGAAAGTGAGTTTGTTTGTTTGTTTGTTCCGCTTTCACGCCGTAACTACTAAACCGATTGCTTTGAAAGTTAGAAGTCTGGATTAAATAATAGGGTACTTTTTATCCCGGAAAAAATTTATATTTCTGAGGGAAAATAAAAATATTGGTGTAGATGGCGCTGTGTGTATTGGTATATGTCACATAGGCTACTTTTCATCCTTTTGTGACGCGAGCGAAGCCGCGGGTAAAAGCTAGTGTTCAAATAAATTTTAACTGAGAGATAACTTTGACAATTCTTCCATACTAAAAACTGTAAACTGTCAATTTAATTCTACAGTTAAGAATTAACTGATGATTGTGAAATCGGCCCTTAAGTGCAGTTTCGTGAGGTCCATAGTACCTATTAATATATTTGTATGAGTTTGAAAGCCTCAAATTCGAATTTTATTCCATCTAGGAACTTTGTGACACACTTCTTCATTGCTTATTTAACAGAATAAACATTATGACTACCGAGATTTTACACTACTTATAATATGTTTGCTTCCATCTTTTTACAAAATACCAATGTCAATAAAAACTCGTGGTTTTAGATAATATTTTTTTCCTTATTAATTTATTTTTATTCCCTTACTAAAACTTATTTATTTGAAGCTGGCGTTGAGTAAACTCAGAAGTGTTTATCAAAGAAGTTAAAGGTTATCCTTTAGCGTACCTACTCGAACATTCCGTAGTACTTATTATTGCACTAGTGACAACTAACTGTTTCGCACGTCATACGGTACAGTGTTCATAATGTTGAGACTACTAATCCTAACAACCGTTCTAGGTACCATACAAGGAGTTAAAGACTATGGAAACTATACAGCAGTTATGATGTATGCCGGCTTAGCAATCAACCCAGTGTGTGTTACAGTTGCTTTTAATGAATACGAAAACCAACCCAAGTGCATGTGTTCCGATGGAAATGAAAGCATACTCATGGAAATTAAGTTCATAGAACGTCTGGATCCCCATAGACAGATTGGAGATTCCAAAGCAGAGTTCGAACCGATGGTAGTGGTTGAAAATACTGACAATGTGGTTAATCTTATGAACGTTACTTGTGAATGTGCTGGTAGATCGTTCAATGGTAGAAGCGTTGTGAGAAATGTCAACAATAACTACATGATTGCCTATGTGAGGAAAAATTCTGGAAGATTTGATGTTTCGTTCGTAGTCGCCAAAGTGTTACTGGCAAGGAATCTGCCGAGTGCTTTGAAACTGCGGCAGGATATTTCACACATTGATGAACTGAGAGACCTAGTTGGAGCAAGATTGTGTACTAAAGAGATCCGTGATGATTTAATTAAAAACAACTGACGAACTTATTATTCTCATTGAATTCTAGTCTTAGAAACGACTTTGCTTTTCCTTCTTGGCAAAAAATTCTCACTGTACTCATATTGTATTAATCTTGAATATAATGTATATTGCACGATCTTTTGTATTATTTATAGATTACCTTTTATTGATATTTAATTACCTAACTACCATCTAGTGAACACTTCATTGAATCAGCTAAGGCTTTTAATTTATTTCTAAAACAGAAATGCATTGTTAACTTATTTTGTTACAAATAATGCATCAGTACAAAATAGTAAGCAGATTAAATTTTATACCATTTGAATAAAAATAATTATTTGCTTTAGTAGTCTGTATTTTTCTTTCACATAGTCTTACTATAAGTTTATTACTACATCTTTCATTGGATAAAAGTATATCTGAGTTGTAGCTTCTAGAACCATTTCAACCATGTTTGCAGTAAGCCACTTTTAAGTAAAAATTCAGGTTAACTTGATGTGTTTGCTAGTGTCTGATCATACCACGTTGGTACCATATTTGAATAAAGAACCTTTGTTATACAGAGCCAATGTAACTGGATAAGTTGGATATATTTTAATTAGAATATTGAATTGTTACTACTATCAATAGCTGGAGTTTGTTACTTCTATAGATTCTTATTAAAAACTAATTATTTTCTGCGAAGTAACACCTGATTCTATTCTATATTCTAGATTCTATACTTACTCTTGACTACGTTTAAGCCTGGCAGTTTTTTTAACATAGCTTGTTTATGTTTCCAGCTCATCTTGAAGGATGCTATGTTCCTATCTTGAAGCGTGTCCTGCCCTACAACCAGCCATTTTCACCACAAAACGGAGGGTCTTGTCTTCAATTTCACTGCCGCAAAGACAACATTACGTCAATTTTTAGGTATTTTTTATTATTTTACTAATAACTTGACTTTTTGTATCTGTAACCTGATTTTTTTGAGTTAGTTTTAACTGATATAATTATGTTTAAACCCATAAACTATACATAACATAACATCACGCCTTTTAATCCCTGAAGGGGTAGGCAGAGGTGCATATTACGGCACATAATGCCACTGTACAATGTAACACCCACTTTTCCCTATTTATGTTATGAGTCCCATGTAATAGAGGGTGAGCCTATTGCCATATACCGGACACAATTCCAGAGTCTGTCTTACCACTGAGATTATTTAAAACTCAGTAATAATTGGGCTGACCCGAGAATCAAACCCAAGAACTCTTGCCCAGCTCATAAATTATATCTATTTTTTATATTTAAACGTTAACTCCAGCCATTAAACTAAATGAGAATATATTCCAAAACTGACCACAAATCTGGTATTTTGTCAATACAAAAAAAAAATATATATTGATATCAACGAGCACTCAAAATAATTAAGTTGAGTGAACATTTAGGTTACAATAATAATTTGCATAATTTATATTTTCAATTAAGCCTTTTTTATTTAAAGTTTTGGTAAACAGGACACTGATGGGTATATAAATATTTGAACAATTTGGATAAATTACTTATTAATTATTGTATTCGTAATTTGTAACTAGGTACTGTGACAGTACCAACATTTAATAAATATAGGTAATGTTAATCATAACATTCAGAACTTAATTGTTTTTCCAATAATTTCATTTTATTGTTTTTTTCTATATTTTCAGTTGCGGCACCCTTCATGTGGGTGATAGTGGTTGTGCTGTAGTGCCCGGTGATAGATACCTGCCCTACCCAGACTGCTGTGATCGAGGTGTCTGTAATACTATTAACCACAATCCATTGTTACCTAAAATTAAAATTAAATGATGCTACCAAATACAACCTATAGTAAATTATTTTTTTCTATAATTAACAAATTGTATTCTATTTTGAAGCCATTATTAAGCTGATGATTTGCCTTATTCTATGTCCGCCATTATTGTCACACGCATCACATAACAACAATATAATACAACTTCATGGCTTTTATCTCGAAGGTGTAGGCAGAGGTGCACATTATGCCACTGTACAATGTAACATCCACTTTTCACTATTTATGTTATGAGTCCCATGTAACAGAGGGTGAGCCTATTGCCATTTACTGGGCAAAATTCTAAACTCCGTGCTGCTACTGAGATAGTAAAAACCATTATTGCTTTACCCGATCCCGGAGTCGAACCCAAGACCCCTTGCCCAGCAGCTCATTCGGCCAATGAGGCAGTACATTGACGTAAAATTTCAAGAAGATTCGTTTGTCGAAGTAAATAAAGAAGCTTAAAAAGGTAAAAAAAAACTAATAAAATATGAACTTGCCCGTCTTTACAACATTAGTTGAGTTATATTTCACATTCATTTTAAATGCTGTTTAATGAACCATGTAGGTAGTAATCAAACGATTAATAATGTTTTTCTCCAAAAATACAATAGTAGATAAACTTGCTACTGCATAACAATTTGAAGTGCGGACAAAAACGTGTTCGGTACTTACATTATTTTGATTGTATAGGGGTCAAAAAACTAATAAATTTAATTTTAATTTTGTTTTGAACGTCGTTATCATTATAGTTATAATATTAGTCATAACTGAAAATTCACTATCACCCTATTTTTAATCAAAATTATATTAATTGGCAAACACGCCATCTATGTTCCAAATGCGTAAATGTTAGTTCATAGCAAATCGAACAGATAGCGTTACCGTCGACGTTTTAGGTTGAAATGAAATAAAGCTGATTTTGTCACAAATTATTAATTTGTTTAGTTTACAACGCACGATATATCTTCTAATCTAATATTATGTTGTGATTTTATTTTTAAACAAGATAATATTATTTTCTGTAGCATTTGAAATAAGTGTCTCTATTCGAAACGTTACTATTGCAGAAACTGTTAATAAACTCTAAGTTATTAGCGTACTGACAAACATAATATACATACACATAAATATATACAGGGCACTAAGTAAAGATTTTTTTGCGTTTTTAGGAGTGCCTGTGCTCATGGACAAAAATATCGGACTGGAAAGATTGACAGGATGAGAATCAGTTATTATGACTGACCTGGGTAGGAGTTTATATCCAATAGCAACCCTGGATAAGCTAAATTGATGCTGATGATATCAAAAAATATTAAAAAGAACCAACACAGAAAACCATGTACTTACATAATAATTTGTAGCGAAATTAGGATACTTATTCAACTTTATATACGTAGTTCTATGTTGCGAAGTATTAGAGAAAATCTCTCATTACGTACCTCGTTACCATACACCGTAAAGGAAACAATAAAAAGATTTCTCCTTGGTGCCTAACGTTCAATAAAGTTGGTAACCGCCAGCCGCTACTTTATGATTATTACTTATCCCACAGTGGCCTCTTCTATCCCAAATTATGCTATTCGTTTTAATGTGTACTCCTAGTACCAATTTTTGCTGTTGGCATTTTTTAATCTTCTCTCCTACCGGCTGTTTGGCGTAAAAGATGTTTTACAGATAATAGTAGTGAAGTGAGACGCCAGACGGATTTATGACATAATTTCTTGCATTTGAATTGTAAAAATTAATTATAATTCGTTGGAGGTATTTTCGAATCGAAGCGACCTTCAAAGCTTCAAGAATTGAGTGTATTTTTTTTTAAAAGGCTAGCAATACACCTGACTCCTATGGTGTTGCGGTCCATGGGTGGCGTTGTTAGCTTACCATCAAATGATCCGTCTGCTCGTTTGACTCCTATTCCATAAAAAAATATTGAGTACGTTGCGTCAGGATTTTTGCAGCGGTGTTCACATGGCTGTCGTGGTGGCCCGGAGGTTTAAGACGCCCGCTTCTCATGCATGAGGGGACAGGTTCGAAACCTACCAACGGCAAGTACCAATGTGACTTTTTCCGAGTTATATGTACTTTCTAAGATTATCTAGACACCACTGACAAACGGTGAAGGAAAACATCGTGAGAAAACCTGGGCTTATAATTTCTAATTATAAGTTTGTAATCGCCAACCCGCATTGAGCAAGCGTGGTGATTAATGCTCAAACCTTCTCTGTGTGATAAGAGGCTTTGCTCAGCAGTGAGCATTTATAGGCTGTTGATGATGATTGATAATGATGTTCGAGGGCCTGGTGGGGCTTGAAACTAGACGATCTCTCTTGTCAGGTTACACGAGTAACTGCCATATTCCGAGACATTTGAAGATTGCGTAAATTATCTTTGTTAACGATTTTGATCAAAAAATCATTGCTAAAGACTTGGTTAAGTGATCAATAAATAACGTCGAGTATGCCACATAACAGAATTTATTTAATTTCTTTAAAAGTTGTCTACTATTGTAATAGATACTTAAACCTCTAAACTATAGTATTTTTTTTTATTTTATTAAACTAATGTGTAATTTGGAATCCAAAACTCAATCCATCAATGTTATTTTCCAATTTATTTAATCAAATCAAATAACTTTTGCAGCAACTTGTATGCCTGAGCCCTATACGATATTTTCATATAGAAGATAAGATTAAGTCCAACGACAAAGGCTGGTATCGCCTTGGGGGCCCTCCGACAATAACCTGTCATTTTTAAAGGACCTTAAATGACAGAGATGGATTGCTGTCATTTCTGCAGTGTAGTGCGTTATATGAAGGCCCTTTAGGCAGTTTAGGGTCAGATTAGAATGTTTTAAAATATGTGTAGAGATGTTATAGTTTGTACATTGAGTGTCGTTTTGTATTAGTCGTGAAGGTATTCACAGCAATTATTATTGTTATGCCGTTGGTGGAATAGAATAATTAATTTATTTGTACTTTTAGAAATTAGATAGCGATCCAGTTGTTATACAACATATTGAGTAATACTTTTACAAGCTGCTTCATTTAAGAAACATAATGCACGGGTCATTGATGACATAAGTTTAAAATTATCCTTAATAGGTACATCCATTGTATTTTACCAAAACAATATGTCATTCACAAACTAAGGTTTGGAGAAAGAAGAGTATTTCTTTAGTATCGGCGTATCTATCTACACTATTTTACAGAACAAATCATGACTTTGCAAATAATTTAAACCGCATCTAACTTTGAATAACAGTTTATATCAGAACACTGAAAGATTAAAAAAAGAATCAAATGAATAGTTTCAGAATACAACTGCGCCCAGAGGAGGAACGAAAAAAAGAGATGCAAGATAACAATGATTTAATGAACGCGAAAAAGTTTAAGCATCCCAGTTTAAATGCCACCCGTGAGTATACTGAGAGGACTTTGTTCGCGCTTTTTGTTCTACTTCAAATGTGGGGTATCAGTGTAAGCGTGCTTATGCTAGGAAGGAGGCGGAACGAGTGAGGCAGCAAAGCGCTGCCTCCTCACAACCCAGCCGTCGCGAAGGACACTACGCGATTCGATCGCGGGACGATCTCCGGCCACCGTAAGCGCGGACCTGCGGACGGCGAGCATGGGTGGTCGCCGCCGCCTGACCAGAACCAGTCCCGAGCGTATGGCGCGTCGCGTTCCGCGCACGCCTTACAAACCATCAGACCACCGCAGGTGGGCTGATACCAATACGGAGCTGCGGAGGACTTAACGGGTTGCCGGGCTAGAAGTGCAGGAGTAAGAACAGGGTGGTTTTTAGTCAGTAAGAGTCTGACATTCCCTCTCGCCTCACCTAGGCGGGAGAAGTCACTCGATGATTTCACCCCCTTTAAAAAGTGCATGCGTGCTTAATACGCAGTATACTATCTAATATGTATATGTTTTTTAAGAATGCAATTATGCCCCATGTCTTGTTGGCCCGGGGGTTTAATGCATGCATGAGGGTGTAGGTTCGAAATCTACGGTAAGTACCAATGTGACTTTTCCGAGTTATATGGTATGTACTTTCTAAGATTATTTAGACAGTGATACTGATAAACGGTGAAGGAAAATCCTGGTGAAGTGAAGAAACCAGGGCTTATAATTGCTAATTATTTCTTTGAAATAAGTGAAAGGCTGTTTATGATTATCGCCCTAAGAAATGTATACTACAGGTTTCCACCGAAAATAAGCCACAAAAATTTAATAATATCATTTTATATCATTTACCATAGGAAGATACTGAAACATCGCTTTATTTCTTAATCTAAGACTAATATAACGTTATCTTCTGCGGTAGAAATAGCTTACTCATTTTTTTACTTTTTCTGATTAGACATTATATAAGCGAACCAGTGAAAAAGCAAGGAAAAATTTCTTTTACTCTTTTTTCTATAAGCCAAGAAGTTATGGTATTTTTAGTGGAATATTGGGAGATAGCGGGATCTATCTTGTACCATTTCTAGTACATTGCCTTATAACTGATGCTCTCCATAGACCCATAATGTATAAACGTGACGTGATCATAAAATAAAGGTCAGCTTATAAAGTTTTTATCTGCTCCAGTCGTAAAAAGCGATTGGAAGGAATAGTCGTAAGCAACAGGCTACGGACTTCTCATAGCTATTCTAAGCAGCAATATGATTGGCGTTTAGAAAACCTCTTTTATGTTTTAATTTCCTGGTATTTGAATTAGGTTGAAGTCCATTCACTGACACGTTAGTGAAAAATATCTCCATTTTCTGTTGAAGTTGAAACTCAATACCAACTAACAATGTAACGCAATGCACAGATGATACTGTGTGGAAAATATAAACATATTAAAACATTTTTGCAATATTTTCCATCGCTCTTTTAATATTCAATAAAATACCTACTCACGTAGTAATTTGACGAGGAACTCGACTAGTTTCAAGCCATGCTAGAGGCATTTTTTTTAAGGGGGTAAATCATCGAATTACTGCACCCGCCTGGGTGAGGCGGGAGGGAGTGTCAGACTCTTACTG